ATTCAGCATTGATTAGGGAGTTTCCTAAAAAGCGGCAGAAGGCTAATAAACCGATAGCTGGAATGGTCAGACGGTTCACCAAAGTTCTTAAAAACTGGAACAACAGATGATAACTTCCAGCCGACAGAAAAGCAGGCGGCATTTATTATACAGTTTAGAGAGAACAGGAGCCAGTTCGGAAGCACACTTCTTAATGATTATAACAGGGATACCATCGGGTCCACACGCTTTGTGAGGATCTAGGTAAGATATGATAGCAGAGACCATGGAAGGGGCTATATGCATATCACTCAACAGAGACTCGGTTCTAGGAGGGAAATTAGGCCGGGATATTCTGGATAAATCAAAGGTAGAGTTTGAGGAAAACTTACGGATAAAGCATTCAGCCTTATCAGCAGAGGATAATAAACTTTCATATTGATTGAAGTTTGGTTTGGTTTGGGTTGTTTTACGGCATATCAACCTCAATGAGTTATTTAATGTCGACAATTTTTATTTCTGGTAATATTGTTTTTTCTTCAAAAATGTATTGCTGGTAATATTTTTTTCAAAAAATGTATAGCTGATAATATTTTTTCTAAAATGTATAGCTGGTAATATTTTTTTCAAAAATGTATAGCTGGTAATATTTTTTTTCGAAAATGTATAGCTGGTAATATTTTTTTCAAAAAATGTATAGCTGATAATATTTTTTTCAAAAATGTATAGCTGGTAATATTTTTTTTTCAAAAATGTATAGCAGGTAATATTTTTTTTTCAAAAATGTATAACTGGTAATATTTTTTTTCAAAAATATAGAGCTGGTAATATCCTTTCTTTTCAAAAATGTATTGCTGATAATAATTTTTTACAAAGTATTTTTGGTATTAAAACCTATTTTTACATTTTCATAATGTTCTAACTCCAGGTGCTATCAGGGTGGACCTGGGAATACCAGCAATTAAAAGTTTAGTTCACGCTCCTCAAAACCTCCTGATCAGAGGCGTTGCTGTTGGATGTATTTTATCGTCATAACTTGGACGCGGATGTAGTTTACCGTCATATCCAGGATGGATTGATTGAAGAGAGGAGGAACAGAGACTTTACACTTATTTAATAACTAATTCCAGAGCCGCCTGTAATCGCGAGCGCCAAAGTTGTTAGATGCTATGCGGTGCCTCATTCTATCGGCAGTGACTTTGCTCATTCGAGGACTAGCTTACATTTATTGTGAGCAGCAATGAATAGGTGCCTGTTGTGACGAGAGCTGTCACGCTGGTATCACCGGAAATTTTGTTTAAAAAAATTGTTTTTTTGTTGTTTTTTTTTTTGCGCCAGCGGTTGTACTTACTTTTAGCAAAGCAAATTTTAGCCTCTTTTTGGGTTGACAGACACATTAATTTGAAAATTTTTGAAAACATCATATATTTATCGGATTTTAATGAAATTTTCAAGAATTATTCACAAATGAATGTGATTATTTTTGAAATTTTTTTATTTGAAAATCTTGGTCAAAATAATTTTTTTTTTTACATGTGTTTCACCCCCTTACTTAATTTTATGAAAACGTGATAATATTTAGCGACAATATTAGTTATTAGCAGAATTATTTGAAGAATTTAAATCACCGAATTTCTTTTGCAAAATCGGACCCCGTCTTAACCGAAAACCTGTTCTGAATCGAAAAATAAAAACCGCAATAAAACTAAGACATTATTTAATTAGAAAAACTTTTAATTGCTTTTATGAATAATATATATTAAAGACAATATTGTCTGAAGAAAAGATTTTGCGCCGGTAACAGTTACGCTACCTAGACTTTCAAAGAGAAAATTTTTTCTTTCTTTCCTTCCCGCCTGTTTGGTAAAATAATAATTGAAATAATCGGTTTTTGATATTTAGTAACTTTTACTTAGTACTGCGTCAAGCTGAAAACGCATGAGAAGATTGTATTACGCCAATCTTTCAAATGCGAAGAACTGCTTGCCTAGAAAATCAACGTTCGAAATTCTGACATTTACTTCGGCTCGAGCATTGCCCGCTGTTGGAAAATGAGGTACTGTTGTTATATTTCAGCAGGATCTGCACCCCCCAGTCTTCACTTTCCATTCTCGATAGAGTTCAATAGCGATAGCGTTCAAAAGCGTCCCGCAACCTTGAAATTACCCCAGACCTCAAGTGGAACTCATACATACAAATTATCGCTAAAGATGCATGTAAAATGGTCGATTCCCTGTACCGCTCCGCTGAGTCTTTGACTCTTCATGATATCTCTATCTATAAAAGGCAGGATGTGTGTGTGTGTGTGTGTGTGTGTGTGTGTGTGTGTGTGTGTGTGTGTGTGCGTAATGAATGCACGGCCGTAATTTTCGACGGATTTGCACTAAAATGTACATGCACATGCTTCAAGTTAGCGAGAAGGCCAAGACCGACTTTGTTTTTTCCAACTCCCATCGATAGTGGGAATAATCGATTTTTTCATGCTTCTAAGGCAGTTTTCATGTAGTTTGCGGTCATTTTGTACGGGCCAGAATGAGAGCCTATAGCTGGCTGCCACGAAAAGGCAGGAAGATTCTATTGGCCAGCGTGAGAGACAACAGCTGATTGACACGAATGTTAACTAGCATGCTAGCATGCAAAAAAAAAAAAAATCGATAGCTGCATTCGTCACAAGTGGGGAAAAATTTAAATCTGCATGGCACTTTACTCCAATTGGCTCATTCGCTTGCTTAAACTCAACGTTGATTCTGATTCCGCAGAACTGGGTTGGGTGTGAAAAAGTATTTGTTGTTAACATTCTTTTTTCATTCGTTTTTTTCCAGTTACGAGTCCTTTTTTAAAGCTGATCGTTTTGTGTTCATTTTGTTTAGTTCTTTTTTCGTAACAGATTTAATGTTTAGTATAGAACTTAGAAAAAAATTCGCAGTTTGAGATAGACAAGAAGTAAGGCATGTAACAACATCAGCACGGCAAAGGGAACTCCTTTAAAGGCAAGGAAGGGCAAAAATATTTTAAGTCAAGTGATAGCGATTGCTGTATGAGTCGTACGATTTTTGAATCAAGCATGGGCAACGCCGGGCCATGCTGCTAGTCCTCTATATTTATAAGAGCCAGATCAGGCCGAAAATGCAGTACTGCTGTCATATTTGGGCAGGCTCTGCCCAGTCCTCTCTTTTAGCTTGTATAGAGTCCAAAAGCGTCTTCGGATCCTTGTGGGTGACAAATTATTTCCCCCCTATAACCCCTTTCTCACAGACAAGGCGTTGCAAGCTTCTCACAGCTCTATCGCTATTTTCATGGAAAGTGCTCAGACGAACTACATTTAGTCCCACCAGTTCGAACCTTGAAGGCAAGGATCCGCCGTGCTAACCCCATTGTAGCTAGCGAGCCACACTCATTCCCTCTGTATTCCATTTTTGATAAGTTAGTTCAACTTCTTCCCGCGAACTACTGCTCTGTGGAACGAAGAGGATATTTTCCCGATCACTACAATCATAACCTAGTCCTGGATAAGACGATAAGCTATATTAGACAGTAAGGCCTCCGATCGGGAGATTGCAGGGTCTGAGGAGCGTGGAACCACCTCTTAATTGTAGTTATTTTCCTGTCCACCCTGACCTGGGGTCGCAACACTTGCTAGGGTCCCACTTATGGGCAAATAGTGAACTCCCAAACACAACCTTAGTTCCACCAGTTCGAACCTTCACGGCTAGGATCCGCCGTGCTAACCACTCAAGCAGCTTCTCTTCGCGAACCAAGAGGATGTTTTCCTGATCACTAGAATCTTAACCTAGTCCTGGATACATCAATAAACTATATTTGACAGCAAGGCCTCTGATCGGGAGATTGTAGGATTTGAGGAACGTGGAACCACCTCTTAATTGCAGTTGTTTCAAGGTCCACCCTTACCTGGGGTCGTAACACTTGTTAGGGTCCCAGTTATACTATGAAAGTGTAAAAATACATTTTATAATGAAATAGCAGAAATGCATGCTTGTATCAAAAAAGTACGAATGATACATATTCATAGTAAAATGGCCACCATTTCTGAAGCCGAATGATCAAAAATACATTTTATCTGTAGTTGAAGCCATAAAAAAATGTTCAATACATTTAGATTTCGGCATTAAATAACCCATAGAGGTGTTGATATGTCACTAAACAAAATTAAACAACCAGCATGAAAGAACTCTTTTAGGACATTATCCTACAATTTCTTAAAGAAATCAAACTGTATTCCAGAATATAACTTCAACAAAACTACAACATAAAAGACACATATCACCGCCTTTAGTAATCATGTACACACAAACATATATATTCAGAAAAGCTGAGTTTCATCTACCATGTATTCAAATGTGAAAGCAGAATAACATATATTTTTATTAATTCCAAGCCTCAAAGAAAATTAAATTTCGACATTAAATGACCCATAAGGTGTTGGTTTGGTTTGTTTTGTTTTACGGCATATCAACCTCAATGGGTCATTTCATGCCGACAACATTTTTTTTCCTGGTAATATTTTTGTTTTGTCAAAAATCTATTTCGGTTAATATTTTTCCTCAAAAATGTATATCTGGTAATATTATTTTTTCAAAAACGTATAGCTGGTAATAGTTTTTTTTTTTTTTTCGAAAAAACGTATTGCTGGTAATATCATTGTAAAAAACAAAACAAAAAAAACAAAAAAAAAAACAAACTATTTCACCAGAATACGGATCGGGGTTGTTTCAGTCGGCCTTTATTTTGTGATTTGCGTCAAATATTCTCGACATAGTCTGCATGGTCTGCTTATTTGTTTGAAAATGTCTATTTAAATTGAGATTCACTAAACTTAGCGATGTTTGACACAAGGCAAATCGAGGGAATGTGTCTATAGGAAACATATTTTGCATCAATTGTCCATGTGAGGTGGGCTGGTTTGACTAGAAATGTCAACATTCGAAGTCATGGCCTTTAACCTCGGCTAGAAAGTTAATCAGTAGAAGCAGGAGAAAATACGTAGCTATTTTAGTCAAAGGCTACGCCTCACAGATAGAGAGAGAGAGAGAGAGAGAGAGAGAGAGAGAGAGAGAGAGTGAGAGAGAGAAATAAATAAACAAAGAAAGATGAGAGAAGCAGAAATAGATAGATAGATAGATAGATAGATAGATAGATAGATAGATAGATAGATTAAATGAGTGGATTAGTAAGAAAGAGTGTGGAGAAAAAGAAAAGAATAAGAAATAGAAAGAGAGGGACAAAGAGAGAGACATAAATTGATAGATAGATAAATAGATATTGGGAAAATACAGAAAAAGCTGTCCAAAGAGACAGAATGAGATAGATAGATAGATAGATAGATAGATAGATAGATAGATAGATAGATAGATTGAATTAGTGCGAGAGAAAGAGAGAGAAAGAGAGAGAGGGAGAATATGTGTGGAGAAAAGGAAAAGAATAAGAAAGAGAAATAGATAGATAGATAGATAGAGAGAGAGAAAGAGAGAGAGAGAGAGAGATAAAAAGAGAACGTTACAAACAGAAAACGAGAAAAACGGAAAGGGAACGAGAAAACAGAAATAGATATAGATAGAGAGTGAGTAGGATTGAGTGAGGGAAAGTGTCAGAGAAAAAAGAAAGAGAGAGAGAGAGAGAATGAATGCATGAGTGAGTGAGTGAAACACTGAGTGAGAGATAGAGAGTGAGTGTGATGCACAAATACACACGTTCTTTTAAGAAATGTAGACTCTAAACAGGGTCACCTGAGGTTATTCGGGTTAAAATGAAGGCGATAATAATTACATATTTATTTTTAACATTTAATTTATGGTTGCAGCATTTTTATCATCATTACGATTTTTAAAAGCTGCTGACGAAAAGAATCGGGACTTGAAGAAGAAACTTCTTTCGCATCCTTGTAATAATAATAATAATAATAATAATAATAATAATCACTACAGATCGAACAATACAAGCAGATACAGCTTGCATACTGATTGACAAAAACATCTCTGTAAACGTTTTTGAAAAACTAAGTGTTGAAGCTTGGATAAGCATGGAATAATAATAATACAACACAAAATGTACGTAAACAAAATGTATTGAAACAAGGAAAAAGGTACACAATATTTACAGTTAGTTTTGGTATATTCTTGGGAAGACTGTTCCTGTAGAATGGGTTGACTTAATCGCAGTCGGGCAGAGTGTCTGGATTGGATCTCTTGTTACTTCCTCCATCGTCTTCCCGGTACCAACCCATATTTATATGATCGGTACTCCACTATGTAAATTAGGTGGATCGTACCACAACACTAAGCAAATACAAAGACAGGGGGATGGAAACAGAAAAAAATGTGGCACTTAAAAACTAAAACTATTTCTATTGTGGTTGGAGCTTTGGGTCTGATAAAGAAAGGAACTCAATAACAAATCAACAAAATGCCAGGAAAATCCCCCAAAAATAGTTCTAACGAGCACAGCCAATATACGGTGAAGCGTTTTTTTTTTTTTTCAATTTTTTTTAATAACTGTCTTTTTTTTTTTCTTTTTTTTTTTTAAGTAGAAACAATAAAAAATCACATCCTTCGCTTGACCTGGGTCATCGGTTATGACCTGGTATGTGAGTATAAAACAAATACAACAACAACAACAACAATAATAATAATAATAATAATAATGATAATAGCAACAACAATGGGGTTATCTTCCCCTGTAATTTCAGCGTTCAGACTAATAGGGAAATCCCGGTAATCCGACCCAATATAATCGTGAAAAATCATGTTGAAAACACATGTCTTATGATAGATGTTGCAGCGCCAGCCGACAAAAAAAATCTTTGAAAAAATTTGAGAAACTAAGTAAATATAAGGGCCACGAGATAGAAACCAGCAAAATGTGGCATTTCATGACAAAAAAAACGTCCTCAAGAACACCTGGTCCAGTGGATAAAACCTTTGGTTGAATCCAGTGACTTCACCCAGAGTTGTGAGTTCAATACTTGGCTACAGCTGAGGGGAATTAAAACTTGGAGAGTTGAGTTAAAGAGAGAGAATTGATACTGAGACATCCGGAAGAGGCATGGCACGTGGAATTAGACCAATCAACCCCGGCGGACGAAATTAAGGGTTCAGTTCGAAATTCCAATCAACTGAAGAAGGCCGGGGCATACAAACGGGCGGAACGTCGTGTATATGGCAACAAAGACGAGAACAATAGTCTGAACAATGTAAATAGTATAAATAAAAACGTTATGTTTCCTAATTAGAGCTTTGGAAATGATAACAAAACGAGTAAACAAATATGTGGATCAAATTCCTGGGAGCCCTAAAATATGTGAATTGAAAAAAAAAATCATAATGATAATTAACTGGTGTGCGGACGTCTGGCGACAACAGATTACGTGACAGAGCTGCTCACTACAGACGTTGATCAATATGTCTCACATTCAACCTCCCTCACAAAGAAAATTGGTAGGAACATAAGCCATCACAAATTATACAGAATAATAAGGCAACTTCATTATTCTGGTTAGGATAGTACTTTCGAATTCAGACCAATAGGGTAATCTAGGCAAATCACCATTCATAATTGTGAAAAATTATATTGAAAACATATATATTGCAGTCCCAGCCGAACAAAACACATCTTACAAAACGTTTGAGGAACTAAGCAAATTCAAGGAACTCGAGATAGTAGAATGCGACATTTCAAGACAACAACATTATCTATTGTCATTGAGACTTTGGACATGATATCTAAAGAAGAAAACCAATCCGTGGATCAAATTCCTGGCAGTCTTAAAATATGTGAATTGCAAAAATGATAGCTTCTTCTGACATCTATCTATAAAAGTATGTTCAGCTTTTATCAAAATCTTTCATCATTTCGTACCCATCGGGCCGTGATGTTTGTGCCTCGTAAACCCTTATCAGGACTTATAAAATAAGTATAGGCTTTAACTTTTAACTTCCAGTGTCCCGATCCAGGATTGCTGGAATAATAATAATAATAATAGTTAACTTATGTGCGGACGTCTGGTGACAACGACCTGATAGAGCTGCTCAGTAAATATATATATCAATATGCCGCACATTCAGCCTCCCTCATAAACAGGATTGGTGGGAACATAAACAATCAAATTGTATAGAATAATGAGGTTACTATCCTCTAGAATGTCGGAATACGGTAATCCTGGCAAATCGAACATTCATAACTGTGAAAAAATTATATTGAAAACAAAAAAATCTTCTGATAGATGTTGCAGCCCCAGCCGAATAAAACACATCTTAGAAATCGTTTGAGAAACTAAGCAAATTCAAGGAACTCGAGATAGTAGGATGCGGCATCTGAAGATGACAATATTTTTTGTTGTCATTTGGGGCTTTGGAGATTATATCTAAAGAAGTAAACAAATACGTGGATCAAATTCCTGGGAGCCGTAAAATATGTGAATTGAAAAAAATCATAATGATAATTAACTGGTGTGCGGATGTCTGACGACAACAGATTACGTGATGGAGCTGCTCAGTACATACGTTGATCAATATGAAACCATTCGACCTCCCTCGCAAAGACATTAGTTCATAATTGTGAAATATTATATTCAAAACATATCTATTGCAGCCCCAGCCGATCAAAAAACATCTTAGAAAACGTTTGAGAAACTAAGCAAATTCAAGGAACTCGAGATAGAAGAATGCGGCATTTTAAGACAACAAGATTACCTATTGTCATTAGGGCTTTGGAGATGATATCTATAGAAACAAACAAATACGTGAATCAAATTCCTGGCAGTCCTAAAATATGTGAAGGATTCATCCTACAAAAAAAAATTTCCTGTTGGTATGGAAAACTCAAAGACAAAATAATACTTAATTAGAAAATACAATACTATCCAGCTTTCATCCAATTTTTCTTCTTCTTCTTCTTCTTCTTCTTCTTCTTCTTCTTCTTCTTCTTCTTCTTCTTCTTCTTCTTCTTCCATGTGCCGTGTCCCTTCAGGACAGGCGATCATGGCTCTCCACAACTCTTTTTGTTGTCAATCCTAAACCTTGTTCCGCCATCCATTCACACAAGCTCGCTGCGTAGGTTATACATTTTCCTCTATCCCACTTGCCTTCAATCTGTCCTGTGAGTATCAAATTTTCCGAACCCTCGTTCCTCATTATGTGCCTTGGAAATTTCGACTGTCTCTTCTCAGTGTTATGTGTATATCGAAAAGTATTTATTCTAGACTGCATTCACGAACAAGTCATTCCAAGCGACACACACGGAATACCAAGAAATCAAACCGCTTATTTCCCGAATGTGTTCACGAACGCCTTAAATCCACTGCCCAAGAACTTGGCGATAATGGAAAAACAACTACCAACAAAACATGAAAATTGGCAAAATAACATCATGTCAAAACCAGAGACGAACCATCTACGTCGAACTACCCATCTATCTATCTATAGTCATCAACAGGCAGACTGTTTCGCTGTATCACAGCCCTCCAGTGTGGCTAGACGTCCGATTTCTTCAAGCCGGGAACAAAACTCAACCAATTTGCTATCAGTCAGAGATCCTACCCTTAAGCCGTCAGCACACGGCAAAGAAAAATGGAAAGGTTAACGCTTTCCATACGAAATACGCCATCAGCTAAGAGAACTCAATTCGTATTCGAAGAGTTATGCATTCATAGCAGAAGCAGCCATATATATATATATATATATATATATATATATATATATATATAGAGAGAGAGAGAGAGAGAGAGAGAGGGGGGAAGAACTTCATCGGACTAATATTGTTCTTGATATTATGTATTTTTATTAATATATACTTAATAGCTCTGTTATTTCGCATTGAGCACTGTTTTTCTTACAGCAAATAATAAACGCATGTACTTACATGTGAACACTTACACGCACATAAGTCAAGGAATACCTTACCGGTGGAAACCATGGTAGAATAAGGGTTAGTATTCCTTGATTTTAACATATATATATATATATATATATATATATATATATATATATATATATATATATATATATATATTAATTACGATAAACGTGCAATCAATTTATAAATTCATGAATTATTCACACAAAAACAAATGCAAAGGTTAATTAAATCATTAACTTGCATTTGCATTTGAATGAATATATATATATATATATATATATATATATATATATATATATATATATATATATATATATATCGAAAAGTTTATAACATCCTGAAGTCAAAAGTAGACAAGAAAAAAAAAGAGAAAGTTGTTTAATGAATATATTCTGCAGGTGATGACTTATGAAAGTGTGACAGGGGTGCTCAGCATAACCACTGCAGAGCCTCTTGCAGTGGCCCAACGTAAAATGGAGTGAATCATGCTCGGTGTCACCTTGCATAACAGGAAGAGCAAGAACTGGATTCGACAGTAGACTGGAGTGAATCGAGATCGTCAAGAAAGGCAAACATTGATCGAAGTTTGAGCTTGATCACCCCAGTTTACTTGATGCTGTTACAGTGTAAACATGGCCGCTCCGCTGGCAATATTCACCAAGAACGGGCTACCTCATCGATGATAACACGGCGGTTCGCGATTACCATCTCTCGAACTTACTGAATCTTCGCGTCAGTGTTGGAGGTTGACGGGTGTCCTGCTCATTTCTTCGTTCATCACGCTTGTCCGGCCACTTTTAAACATCTCAATTCACCCACAAACACTTCTACGCGGTAGTGTATTGTTGCCATATTGTTAAAAGTCTTTATTGAACTCCAGTCCCTGACGCACCTTGCAACCAGAGAAATTTTCATATTGTCACTTGCCATATCGATTGCTTGGTTGATTTTGTTTAGCGACATATCAACCTCAATTTAGAAAATGACCATTAAAAGGGAAAAGATGGTTTTATCTCCATCTCAAGTGTTTCTGTTTGACAGGATGGTAGATAATTTCTTTTGAAGTTTCGTCTTCGAAACAGCATCCACTTTAACCGTAGGGTAACATGTGAGTAAAAGGGGTGGATGACAGAGTGTGCTGGTTTGCCCTTGGTAGGAAGCTAACATGTCCGTGTCACAGTTCTGAGGCCTCTATTTTCATATTAGCCAGCCTCCAGGTTGCAGTGAGTAGATGGGTGATGATTAGTAAGGGAAAGAACTTACAGCAGAAGTTGTCCCCAGTACCACCTACCTACCTACCTACCCATCCAGACAAGCTGGGAAGGCCCTGAATAAAATGTCTATATATAAAATGGTAAACAGGAAATCTTTGTTCCTCCTTGGTGCACACTGCTAGCAGAACGGTTTACACTGTAACAAAATCTATAAAACGTGCTATAAAGCTCAAACTTGGATCACGTGACTATAATAGTACCAACTATAAACACGCATGAGCAGAAGGCAGTGTGACAAACCTAAAGATATGTTATAGCGAAAGTGCTGATAAGTTTTGATTTACTGTTGTAACTGAGTTATCAAAATCAACAGTAGAAGACCGGAATTGGTTTAACAACAATTTTATTACCTTTTGATACAGGGAAATCCAGAATAGAAACTAGGGAAGAGAATGTTTATCTGTGAATGACTAACTGTTTTGAGCAAAGGCTACTGCAGCTACTGCTCCTCCTGCTACTCCTCTTGATGTCGGAATATTTTTATGTCTTTCGTTCGACGGCCGAGCCCAAACTTGTAGGGAAATATTCTCCCTCATAACACTTACCCTAGTATATTATGGACTCAACCATCGTTTTCGAAGTCTCAGAGTTCAACAGCAGGTATCACCCTTGGTGCCTTACTTGTGTTCATGCCTTTGATGACTTTTAAGGTCAGTTTAAGACCCGCATAACATTCCACATACAGGACAAGGAAGAACACCATTCCTGAAGATTTTATGAATGTTAAAGTGGTATCCAGTGTTCTGTATTGTAATACGGAGATGCTCACTGTGGAACTTCTCAAAAGTTGTAAAGAGTTTTATGCACCCTCCTCTTACTTGACACGATCAAAAGCCACATTCCCAAAAGGACGACAGTGTGTATATAAAATTGTTTATTTGGGCACCAATCCTTCTTTTATACAAATTTCATTAAAGAAAATTGACAAGGTACTGCGATTAAACTTTTTATTTAATGTTTCTTGTGTTCGTATAAGTGGCTTCTTTTCTGGACGTAAAGTGTGAAAAATTTGTCCGAATGTTCTATATGTGCGAGCGTTTTCGTCTATTCTTTTAGCCATTATCAAGGAGTTTTTTTTTTTGTTATAGAAATGTTTCTTTTATTTTTCAAACACGATCAGCACAGTGTGGCCGTGTTCATAGTTGATGTTATTTAGTGTTGACTTTTTGTTTTTTTATTATTAGTGCTTCGTTTACATGTGGATGAGGCTGTTATAGTTGTTTTTCTACAAGTATATTGCGGAGGGACTTTGGTTATATATATATATATATATATATATATATATATATATATATATATATATATATATAATAATCCGTTGGTATATAATCGAAGTGAATCCGAATAATATAAAATAATAAAAGTGATCGACAAATAGAGCTCAATGTATTTATTATAACAGAGCATATATAAATAAATTACATAGAATCGAAATTCAAAATTACCTCATATGGTTACAACTATTTTACCCCACAAGAACTTCTTACAACTTCTTACTTATCGGTGTTGAAAATCCCTGCAAGTTCTTGTGAGGTGAAATAGCTATAAATAATATATATATATATATATATATATATATATATGTGTGTGTGTGTGTGTGTGAAAAGTGTATATAAATATAAATATAGTTTGTCTGACGATCGCTAAAAGCGTGAAACCCAGGGTCACAAACTCACATCTATCCAACCAAAAATATATATATATATATATATATATATATATATATATATATATATACGTACTTTGACTTTTATATATTTGATTATAAAACAAGAAATAATTATTTCAAATCACGAATAAGTACTAGGCCGAAAGTTTTGATTTTTATTTGTGCGCATGCGCGAGTGCGCGTGCATATGTGTGTGTGTGTTTGTGGCATTATAGACCACAAGGTCGCTTTTCGGTGAGAACGAAGCACGCCGTGACAGCTTATAGGCGACTCCCTTCGTCTGCGCTCTCTACCGTCCAAATATATATACTGACTTTTCATCGTTCGTCAATTCTAATTAGTAACACGCTTTTCCAGATGCTTACCGCATAAATTCGCGATTATTTTGAATTGTTCAGCGTACACAGAAAAATACATACATATATATATATATATATATATATATATATATATAGGGAGAGAGAGAGAGTGAGAGAGAGAAAACTAGAGACGGAGAGAGAGGGAGGTAGAGAGAGAGAACGAGAGACGGGAAGAGAAGGAGGGAGAGAGAGAGAGAAAACGAGATGCAGAGAGCGAGAGAGGCAGGGGGAGAACGAGAGACAGAGAGTGAGGGAGAGAGAGAAAACGAGATGCAGAAAGCGAGAGAGGCAGAGGGAGAACGAGAGATAGAGAGTGAGGGAGAGAGAGAGAACGACAGAGAAAAAGAGGGAAGGAGATAGAACGAGAGACACTGAGAGAAAGTGGGAGAAAAAAAGAGAGGACGATAGACATAGATAGATAGATAGATAGATAGATAGATAGATAGATAGATGGTGAGAGAGAGAGAGAACGATGGGCGGACAGAGGGGGAGTGAGAAAGAGAGACACAGAGAGAGAGAGAGAGAGGGGAGAAGATAGAACGACGGTGAGGAGAGAAAAAGAGAGAGGAGAGGCAGAGAGAGATGGATTTTGAGAGAGAGATGGAGAGAGAGAGAGAGAACGTGAGACAGAGAGAAGGTGAGAGAGATTTGGCCTGATATCGTAAAAAGACTCAACACATAAAATTATCAGGTAAATATACATGATGTCAAACGTTTCTCATGGAACCACAAAATATTTAACAATTCCGCTCGACTGAACAAACATGAACCAAACGGGTAAGACTTAACCTTCACTCACTTTAAATAGTAAACGATCCGAAACGTGCGTTCTTTTAGCAAGATCGCTTAAGAGTGACTGAATGCCGCTCCCACGACGATTTCCAGTGAAAAGAAATGGACCAATCGTTACAGGAATTAAGTCCAATGGCGTGTCGCTTTATTTGGCATTCAAAACCCCTTTTAAAAACAAGTCTATTTGAGGATGATAAGAAACAAACAAAAAACAAAAAACAAAAAAAGTCACATTCCCATTTAGATATCAGAAATATTTAAAAAAATCTTCTTCATATCTGCTGACGAAGCGTTAACACTCTGACACAACTGGCTGAACGTTCTTTTTTATGTGACGTGTTCTTTCAGAACGTAGGTGATCATGGGTCTCCACAAGTTCCTGTTCTTTGTAGCGCTTAATAATTGTTTTTCTTTTCGTTATTTCCCCTAAACCCTGTTCCGCCATCTACATCTTTTAGCCCATTTTTATGGACTCTTTTTCCTCTGTCCCTCTTGCTTTCATTCTGTCCTGTGAGTATCAGATTTTCCAAGCCCTCCTTCCTTATTATGCTCCCCAGAAATTTCAACTGTCTTTTCCTGATAATAAAGCATAATATATTACTTTTTGCGTCTATTTTCTCTAAAACTTTGTCGTTGCTCACATGCTCGGTAAATGGCATCCTCAGCATCCTTCTGTAGATTAAACCATACGGTGTTTCTGTTTATTTTTACCTTCTTCGTTTTATTCTAAATTTACTTTATGGTTGCTTAGTTCTAAAGCTTTTATAGATTTAATTTTATTATTGGCAAATAATTCCTTATTGCTGAAGTTGCTAGATAATCTAACTTGGACTGACTTAGGTAAATTATTTAGAATTTTATAACAATAGTTTTTATTCTTCAATGATGTATCTATAGTTATATAGATCTTTGGTATATGGTTTGTAATAACCATTATTCAAGTCCAAGGTCACATCAAGAAAGTTCATCACTTTAGCATTGGTGGTTTGGCAATATTTAGCACGTGATCGTTGACAATTTGATCAGTTCTTTTCTCAATCGTTCTATATATTTTTTTAACTTTTTACGGAGGAGAATTACACGTAAATATAGAATCTGGTGTCATTTAATGTCGAAAATTAGTCGCCACAATAACAAGAATCTAACTACTTCACATGCCTCTGTTGAATCATAGCAATATTAAAGCCTGGGTTACTTTGGTCCACAGATAACCATTATGGAAAAATATAGGTTTTTGTTTTTTTCCAAATACTTTAAATTTACTTAGTCCTAAAGCTTTTATATATTAAATTTCATTTTTATCAAATATTTCCTTATTGCTGGAGGTGGTATAATTTAACTTGGACTGGTTTATGTGAATTATCTAGAATTTTATGAGGGTAGTTTTATTCTTTACTGATGTATCTATGATTATATAGATCTTTGTTATATATGGTTTATAATTTATATTGCCTAAAGTTATTCAGTGATGGGAGAAACGAAAATTCCAATGGTTTTCAGTGATACATTAAAATTTAAATTACATAATGACCAGTCTATACTCAGCACCTGACAATTGCGTTGTGAAGGAAACTCCGGGTCGGTGTGGGATATATTATTAATATATGCCAAATAGCTCTTTTGAATTACATCGACCACTGTTATTAACACGAGCACTAAATAAGGGATATATATATATATATATATATATATATATATATATTACAAAGAGTTAATCATACCTTGAATCAATTAGCAATATTAATGCAATTATTGGCGAAATCCCTTCGCTAGTAGACATAATTATAAGCATTATACTACTAATAACCCACTGAATGATGAGATCCTTATGTATAAAATGGATATGGTGTATTTTTTAATTCAGCTAGTACTTTCGAGTGCTTCACGCATTCATCATCAGGCTTTATTTTTTTCCTTTAGAATCAAAACTGCAAGACGAAATAAATATAAAATATATGCTGCCTATTTTATTTTATATATATATATATATATATATATATATATATATATATATATATATATATATATAGTGAAACCTCGGTTCTCGCTGATAGGACAGTAATTGTTTACTAAATTTATAGCAGACAGCAGATTCTCGGTGATGAACGGATAAATGTCACAAATATCGAATTGGATGATTGTCCATTCATTCTTCCTTTTTATATTAGTAAATTAGTATTCCTTTTTATATTAGTATATTAGTATTCCTTTTTATATTAGTAAATTAGTATTCCTTTTTATATTAGTATATTAGTATTCTACGGCTTCTGCTGTTTTATGCCTCTGGTTAATTCCCAGAGGATCTTTCGTGTATTTGCATGATACAGTGTAACCCGGATATAAGAGAGTTGTCGGGACCGGAGAAGAAGATTCTTATATCCAGGTTTTCTCTTATATCCGGGTTTAGTCTATTTTGTTTAGGTAAGTATGGGAACACTTTGGGACCAGAGACAATCTCTCTTATATCCGGGTTTCTCTTATATCCGGGTTTCTCTTATATCCGGGTTACACTGTATTTCAATGATGTTTTTGTTGATTTTACCGATATTATTTTTAGTCCGATTGAGTAATCAGTATTGAGGATTATTTAGGAAATTTGCTTTCTGGTCTTTAACTGTGACGAATGTTTTTTGTTTGTGGAATTTATAAATCCTATTATGAATTCTTAATTCAATGGCTATTTTCTTGGTTTCAATATTGATGTTATTTTCCCAGTTGTTGGGTGGCTTTTTATAAAACTTATTAACTTCTTTGTTAATAGCTTTGTGCTACATATCCACATCGATATGGTAATGGTCGCCCATCTTGTCGGCTTTGATAATTATTTTATCTGATTTTTAATCATTGAAACGTTCTTTTGCATTTTTTTTTACTGTAGATTGTTGGTAGTTTTAGCGAATTTAATTTTGCTTCTTACTGAGAATAAATCTTTCTCGAAGTCCAATAATTGTTCGTCGCGTGGTTTTTTTTTTTTTTTGAGGGGGGACTTAAATCCATAAATCTTGGCATCTTTTAAGTTTTTATTCTCGTTCTTGTGTTTAAAGAAGAAGAGTTTCCACTTCATTCTTTTTATGACGCTCTCGATCTTGTGTGAAAAGAGTCAACTAGTACAATCTTTTGCCAGGAACTATGAGGTTTTTAGTTGAAGAATCCAAGTTAATTGGTTCCATATTCCAAAAACGGTTAGGATACAAAGTATAAATACACTTATTACACTTATAACAGTGCTCAACTAAAAGTGTTAAGATATGAATATAAATATAATATATTGTATATATATATATATATATATATATATATATATATATATATATATATATATATATCACAAGTAGATTTATAATATATCACATATCTATTTATAATATATATATATATATATATCACACACATATATATATAACATATCATACTTATTATAAAACCCATGTTGTGTGTGTGTGTGTGTGTGTGTCTATTCGTTTATATATTGGATCGGATTTCCTACATTTTTCAACCGATTTCAACAAAACTTCACAGGACAACGCAAAATTACCTTGCGGTGGTTCTAACAGCGCCCAAAATTGGAAAAACACAATCGTTTTTGCACGAAATTAATTTGAAAACACGATTAAGAGGCATCGCTGTCGTGAGAATGAAAGGGGGACAACTCATATCGAGTTATACTTATTATAAAACCCAGGTTGTTTGTGTGTGTGTGTGTGTGTGTGTGTGTGTGTGTGTGTTCGTTTATATATAGGATCGGATTTCCTACATTTTTCAACCGATTACAACAAAACTTCACTTTTTTTTGGCAGGTAGTGTTTCTTATTGTCTTGCACACTTTTTTCTTTATTTTTACATTCAGAATTCTTTAAAAATTCCATTTACAAGACAATTGTTTATAACAAAATTCAATTCAATCGGTAGACTCATAACGATTGAAAACAATGTTTAATTAATCTAATTAAGACATGCGTGTCTGTCAACCTTAAACAATAATCTTTGTCAATTTTATTTTTCAGTCTTTATGATGGTTGATACTTGATCTATCTCTTACTGTTACATCCCCAGGCAACGCCGGGCTCTACTGCTAGTATATAATATATCACACATATTTATAATATATATATAATATATCACACATATATTTATAATATATATATAATATATCACACATATAGTGCTAGTTTTAATAAAACAGTGCTCAATGTAATAAAACAGCTATTAAGTATATATTAATAAATATACATATTATGGTTCACCAATGACACGACTCGGAGTTTCATGCAGAACGCAATCTTCAGGTAATGATTATAGACTGACCGTTACGTAATTTAAATTTTAATAAAAATATATGGTTACTGCAATGCTGGCGCTGTTGTGTATTATACGGGGATTACAGTTTTTTGATTTTTAAAAATATATTTGTCATTTAAAATAAACGTGATTTATATATATATATATATATATTAAGAAATGGACAAAGTCCGACAATTTATTTATTAAAGACATTTTTTTTTATGTTTTAACGTTCTTTTTTATAGATACAAGTATTTAAGTAAATGCTCTGTTTATAATAAACAGTATTAAATAACATTTACCGGCCTGAATGTCCGAGAAATTTTCATAGAAGATATTCGTCCTTTGACAGGATTCGAACCTGCATCCTATACGGAACCGTCATTTACGCTCGGCCACAAAGGAGCGTTCGGTAGGCAAGGTCGAATTTACTGCTTATAAACTTCAATCTTCCATGAATCTCGTACATTCATAACTGCTCTGGCGTATCAAATGTAAACAAATGACGTCATATATAAGAAATGGACAAAGTCCGACAATTTATTTATTAAAGACATTTTTTTTACATGTAAAAACATCTGGCCACCTAGCTCCCGAGACTGTAACTGTCATATTAAAAAAATTACCAACAATGCATTTTATCTCTGGTTGAAGACATACAATTCCGTTGAAAATATTTAAATTTAGGCATTAAATAACCAACCAACGAAGCCCCAAAGCCCCCCACCCTGCATGTTCACAAAGAAGCGAATGATGAAAACAAACGCCACGGCAAGAAAGTTGAAGCCGAAGACTGTTTCCAACATATTCGGGTGTTGCTCGGTCTAGGTAGGTAGGTAGGTAGGTAGGTAGGTAGGTAGGTATGTGACACATGTGAAAATTTCGAACTATTTAGCTCAGGTCTTCGATTCTACCTTCGATCAAATTATTTCCAGTGTCAGAAATCCCGACGCGTGACTGGCAAACAGCGAATGGGCAGCATCGGAACTACGTAAGAGACATTCACTCCTCCGCTAAGGGCAGACCAGAATTGAATACTTCAATCTTAATTGTGATTGTTAATATACACCAGCAACCGGAAATCCTGACCGTCAAAGCTCTCACACCTTCCCCGTCTATGCGGTTGTCCAATTATAGAGTCACGCCTAACTTTGTTCTTTCAGCTGATTTTTGTGCTTTTTTTTTTTTTTTTTTTGCTTTCAAGCAATTTTATTAATGTAGTAGGAAATTATTATAAGGATAAGAAAGAACGATGATCATTGACCTTTGACTTGACGAGGTCAAGATTGATGCGTTCAAGGAAGCAACTACAAGGGAGTTGGTCCCATAAATTATTGATTTTTGAGAAAAGTTTGTCTGAGTGGATCTTTCTGCTTACATTTGGAACGTGGAGGAAATGGGACGATGTGTTCTAGCTGTAAAGGTCTGAATTAGAGTAAGTAAAGAATGGAGCGATCATCTGAACATTTTCTATATAAATAGCAATGGAGTAGCGATCGACTTGTAACGCTGCGTCTGTGGAAAATTGGTTGCAAAGTGGAAAATAAGACTTCGCCAGTCCCACAAAACTGCGTAAACGTTTTTGTACTCTATCAGAGCTGGAACGTGAGGACTGGGGAGCTCCTGTTCAGACACGGCAGCAGTATCCCTTTTTGGTTTAATTTGCCTCTTGCAAAGATGAAGCACGGCAGAAGAAGTCAGGCACTTTCTTCGCTGTATAGGTCCGGTGAGAAGACACATCCTTGTCTTACACTTTCTATTTTTGTATATCTGCTGAATTCATTTTCTATCCGTATGCAGGCGATTTGCTGCCAGTATAATTTCTTGATTATTTAAGTAAAAGAAAACACACACACACACACACACACACACACACACACACACACACACACACACACACAAAAATGCGAAGATGATAAAATGAAACTATTTTTGCTTCACAAAAACGAACACGTCCAATATGAGGTTATCCAATAAACAAGTAAAACTTGTTTTTCAAATACTTTTTTTTTTTTTTAATAAGCTTTCGTATGTAATTTTTAAATTAACTGATTTTCTCTGTCTCTGTGTTCCAGTTGGCCAACGGATGTATAAATTGAGAACTCAGTTTGGTCTAGAACAGCGTCAGCTCTGACTGAAAGAACAGATTTTTCGGTGGCAGTCTCTGGTACTACCGCTGTACTTGAGAGCTTCTGTCCGGGCACAGTCAGATTCATTTTTCCTCTTCAGTGGTTATTCCTACACGTACAACCCGCCGCTAGTCACAACGATCCGGTTGCAGACGTTCCTGGATCGCAACAACAGACACCCTAAATGCCGGACTATCTGTACAGGGTGTCATACGGGATGATATTGCACGGAATGGGTGAGATAGAGACAAGATCTGCTATTCGCTTTCCCAAAATAAGTTTTAGGGCAAATTTTATAGTCAGGTTTACAAGACCCGGGGTCCACTCGAGGTAGAGGCTTACAGAGTAAGAAGCAGAGTTTATGCAGATAGGTGGGGAAGATAAACTGTTAACCCTAGATTTGAACAGGTTAATATTGTAGTGATCAGGGAAACATCCTCTTGGAAGTCGGTTCCACAGCGCAGTTGTTGGTGGGAAGAAGCTGTTCGAATGGAACTTACTTCTCACCGATGGAGGGAATGTAGGTGGCTTGCTAAAATGTGTCATAGCCGGTCCTAGCCGTGAAGGTTCGAAATGGCAGAACTAAGGAATGCAGTTTGTCTAAGCACTTTCCTTGGAAGTAGCGATAAGGTAGTGAGAAGCTTACTACATTTCATCTGTGGGAGACGTTTCTCGTATAAACGAATGTCAAAACCGGGATAGTAAAATAACTTATCAAAAGCTACAAAGAACACACGGCACATAGAGCTGACGAAATTCCAATTACATATGAAATTTCAAGCCTGTATAAGCGCTTTGACTAAACCTGAATTCACAGGAGTCTAGTGTTAACTGATTGGCATTTTTGTGCATTTTGGGAGGAGTTGCAATTCCATGAGAGAAAAGGAAGAGAAAAATGAAATTGTGCACGGAATCTGTAGCAAGGACGCGTAGTCGCTTTTGGTCTCAATCAAGACTGAAAAGTGAAGACTGGGCATTTCCTGTCCAAATATGATAGCAGTACTCCATTTTCGACCTGATCTAGATATTGTAAAGATAGAGGATAGTATGAGAAGTCAGTTGTACCGCTACAGGAAGCCGACCATATTACCTGCATCTGTATGGATGGAAAGTGAGGACAGGGCATCTCCCACCCAAATATGTTAACACTTCTCCATTTTTGGTCTGATCAAGATATTGTAAAGATAGAGGATAGTATGAGAAGTCAGTTGGACCGCTACAGGAAGCCAACCATATTACCTGCATCTGTATGGATGGAAAGTGAGGACTGGGCATTTCCTGTCCAAATATGATAGCAGTACTCCATTTTCGGTTCGATCTGGCTCTTATAAATCTAGAGGATAGCAGGAGTCAGGTACTGTTTTTAGTTTCCGAATACGGTTAGCTCTAATAATAAAGAACAAAAAGCCAACTCTTAACAATATTAACTATGAACAAAGACACAATGTGCTAACCGTATTCGGAAACTAAAAACATCACTACCACACACTGAACATACACAGAACACACACACTCTACTAAGCTGATAATCGAATCATCCTTGATAATGGCTAAAGGTATAGCCGAAAGCGCTCGGAAATATAGAACATTCGGACAGTTCTTACACACCCTTTGTCCAGAAAAGAAAGCTCTTGTCAGAACACAAGAAAAATTAAATAAAAAGCTCAACAGTAGTACCTTGTCTGTCGTTTTTAATGAACATGCATATATATATATATATATATATATAGACAGAGACAGAGAGAGAGAGAGAGAGAGAGAGAGAGAGAGAATGCGGTATATATATATAGAGAGAGAGAGAGAGAAAGAAAGAGAGAGACAGAGACAGAGAGAGAGAGAGAGAGGATGCAGTAGATATACTTCCCATAAATACCTCCCACATAATGGTAAGACATTAACTAGATGAAGACACCATTGCCACTAATGTCTTACCATTGTGTGGCGGGTATTTATGGGAGGAGGATCCTGTGTATTTTTTTTCGACCTGCAAGTACTTTCGAAAACTTCATGTTCTCATCGTCAGGCTGTAATCTTTTCATTTGGAAATAAAACTCCAGACGAAATAAATGTATAGATGATTGAAAGATGTTTTTTAAAGAATGTATTAATGGTTATATAATGTTGGAACGTGCAAGTCGCAACGCTAGAGTCGAAATATTACAAGCGAGAATTTTTTTGTATGAATTTTTAATTTGGTAAATCCACGAATTCTTTTGTTGTAAGTGTTTTCCAGTTAACGTGACATGAACTAAGTATATAGTTCAATTAATAGAGTGATATGCTTTTTCCGGAATTTTTCGTACTGCTGATCAATTTTTGCATGTATTTTTTACATTAAAAATACACCAGATCCATCTGACAACAATTTTATACACAAGGATCGCGTCATTCAATGCATTGTTCGTAAGTTAAGGCTTATATTAAGTCTGTTAGCGAAGAGGATTCGCCATTAATTACATTAATACTGCTAATTGATTCATAGTATGGTTACCTCTTTATAATATAAAATATACGCTGCCTAATTTTATATAATTTATATATATATATATATATATATATATATATATATATATATATATATATATAGATAGATAGATAATATTAGTGGTAAATATACATACATATGCAAAATATATAAATACCCATACATGTATATTTTTTAAGAGGAAGAATCCAGGTAGAACTCAATGTCTAGGACAGAGTAAGGATATAATAAAAAGGCTTAAACACTAATATTCCATGGTCATAATTTATTCCATTGGAATCGTAAATACGATCCAATTCATCAGACCTACAAATTCAAAAAGAAAACAGAAAAAACAACTCCGGAAACAAAAACAGAATTTAGAGAGAGTGTAAGTATGAGGGGGAGGGAGATCAAACCTTAACAGAGAGAATTTTGGGAGAGGTGGGTGGAAGGGGTTTAAGTAAATTTTAATAATAAATTTCTGGACTGTTGATTAACTGCTTTGTCGTAATTCTTATTGTAAGTAACTGTTTAGTGACTTTATTGCCACCCTATTTATTTATACATACATACATACATACATATATATATATATATATATATATATATATATATATATATATATATATATATGAACATTGAAGTCAGCACTCAGGGGCGACAGGCTGTTTCATGCTGGTCACAATCGTCAAATATAGCACACCTTAAATATATATTTCTTCATATATATATCTAATGATGGAAGTGGAGACTTTAGAAATCCATGAAAATAGTTCATTTCGTGAAATCAAATTATCGATCACGTCTCATAAGACCAAACAAGAATTAAAAATCCAAAAAAAAAAAAAAAAAAAAGAAGAAAAAATTTAAACAAGAATTACAATTGTTTGGTCTGATGGGACGAGATCGATTATTTGTTCACGCGAAATAAACTATTACCATGGATTTCTAAAGTCTTCGCTTTCATCATTATTATTTGCTTTGTTCTTACACTGAGCTCTCTTTAGATTTATAACCTCTTTGGAATTATCCATAGCAATTATCAAATAATACACACACACACACACACACACACACACACACACACACACACACACATATATATATATATATATATTGTGAATTTGGGCAGAAATCCTTCATTTATGCATGTTTCATTAAAAACGACAGGCAAGGTACTACGGTTAAGCTTTTTAATTAATTTCTCTTGTGTTCCAACAAGTGTTTTCTTTTTGGGACACAGATTGAACATCAGTATATATATATATATATATATATATATATATATATATATCACTTAACTGATTGATGTTACCTTCAAAATCCTGACTACAGAGCTACATAGACGGATCGTTTGGGAATCATTCTCTCCACTCGTCAGCGGGTATCAACAGTTGACTATACTGGGATTATTTTCCTTTTCTTTGTTGTTGTTATTACAATGTTTCGGTCGATGTCCCCCCCCCGTCCACCGGGATTTCATCAGATGCTTGTCGATCCGGGTAACTTTCAGGGAATTTGGAATTGAAACCTTTAACATTGTCTGAAGGTTACCCAGATCAACAAGTCTTTGATGAAGGCTGTAGGCACAATGTATGAATTGTGATAACAAAAAGAAAGATGGGGATAACAGACCTCGCGTGGAAATAATACAAATTATGATAACACCTTATCCCAAAGGTTAAAACAGAAAACAGTCACAATGCGGCATTGATTTAGGTATCAATACCATATATATCTATATCTATATCTATATATCCCTATATATATCGACACCTCCTCTCCGGTTTCTTGAACAGGAGTAGAGGTTTATCCCTTGTCTCTTGCTTGGGGTTGAGTTTCCAGGTTCCACTCGAATCTCTTCGTTCTTTTACACTTCATGTGGGCCCCCTTGCATCTTAGTGGCATTATCGCCTTGCTTGGGGTGAACTGATTTTTTAAAAAAAGCTCTGTTTTATCCGATATGAAATAATATTCATCCATTATCTATCTATCTATCTATCTATCTATCTGAGTATGTTCATACTTTATCTATCTGTCTATCTCAATATGTACACTATCTATCTATCTATCTATCTATCTATCTATCTATCTATCTATCTATCTGAGTATGTTCATACTTTATCTATCTGTCTATCTCAATATGTACACTATCTATCTATCTATCTATCTATCTATCTATCTATCTATCTATCTGCGTGTGTGTGTGGTCCTAACGTTGCTTTGACTCGTGTGCACAATGTATCAAACACGTTTTCGGGGCTCACGTGTTTCGTGATTTGGCGACATCGTCCTCGTGGGCTTTTTACCGGTCAGCATGACAAAAAGCTGACCAACCCCCACCAGGAAAAACACTCTTCTCTGTTTGATAAGGTTAAGCATTTATTATCTTCTCCACCACCCACTTTCATCTTTCTTCTTTCAGTACCACGAATTTTTTATTTAATTTATTTTTTAAATTATTAATCCCACACACACAAAAAAAAAAAAAAAAAGAAAAAAAAGGGGGATGAAACTAATAAAATCTAGGATGGTTAAAGAAAATATGTCCCGGAAAAGTAATACCACACCTACCATCACAAGTGCAACCCCCTTAAAAACTAAAAAAACTCTTTGATTTCTTTACGTTTTCCCCACTTTTTCTACGACTTAATCTCGAAGTTCAACGTACCTTCGTTTTTGAGGTAATAACTATGATTCATATAAAATAAATGATATTTTTCTGGTGCTCATCCCATTGAAATTGTTAAGTCTATAATTTAAATAAAAGAAAAAACCAAAATATTTTACGTGGATAAAGAGAAGGAGATTGTTTTAACTAAATTCTACTTCCTCGTGTCACGTGAATACATCCTTGAAGTCGGACGACTTGGAATTACGCATGTTACATTGGTGCATTGTTTTATAGCCTCTTTTTTATTGCCTTTAGGGCGTGAAAACTGTTGTTGTATGACTGACTCATTATAAATCAGTGACATAATAATAATAATGATAATAATAATGCTTGCTAACTAGAAATTACCAAGCACACACAGTGAAAAGTTGTGTTGACCCCAAATGCGTTTTCTGTGATAAATATCCAGAAATAATTGACCATCTTGTATCAGGCTGCACGGTGTCAACACCCACTGAATATAAAACGTCGTATGATAGAGTGGGCTAATACATGCACTGGGAAAATATGCAACCTTTTAAGGGAAGGAAAGTGCATGAAACTGGTATGAACATCACCCAGACCCAGTTACAGAGATAGGACCTGTAACAATTTTATGGGGACTTTACAATACACACAGGCAGAACAATCAAAGATAATCGTCCCGATATCGTGCTCAAAGATCTCAAAAACAGAATCTGCATTCTTATTGAAATAGCATTCCCTGCAGATTGTAATGTATATCTGAAGATCTTTAAAAATCCATCAAAATACAAGGATCTTGAAGTGGAAATCTAAAAAAATTGTGGCACATCAAGACAGTTGTAGTTGGAGCCCTCGGATTGATTGGAAAAGGTTCCGATAGACAAATAGAAAGGATTCCTAGTAGCTCATGCTTTAAAAAAAAAATACAAAAAATCGTACCCACAACTACAGCTCACACGATACAAAGAGCTTTATGTAAAACTAGCAGTACAGCCCGGCGTTGCCCGGGGATGTAACAGTAAGAGATAGATCAAGTATCGACCATCATAAAGACTGAAAAGTAAAATTGACAAAGATTATTGTTTAAGGTTGACGGACACGCATGTCTTAATTAGTTTTTTGGGGGGTGGGGGTGGGGTGGGTGGTTTACGAATAGGTCAAACCCAAACTCAAACAAAATAGGTCAAACCCAAACTCAAACTTATGAGTCTACCGATTGAATAGAATTTTATAAAAAAAAACAAACAATTGTCTTTTAAATGGAATTTTTAAAGCATTGTGAATGTAAAAGTAAAGAAAAAAGTGTGCAAGACAATAAGAAACACTACATGCCAAAAAAAAGTGAAGTTTTGTTGAAATCGGTTGAAAAATGTAGGAAATCTGATCCCATATATAAACGAACACACACACACACACACACACACACACACACACACACACACACACACACACACACACACACACACACACAACCTGAGTTTTATAATGAATATAACTCGATATGAGTTGTCCCCCTTTCATTCTCGCGTCAGCGATGACTTAATCGTGTTTTCAAATTGATTTCATGCAAAAACAATTGTGTTTTTCCAATTTTTGGCGCTGTCAGAACCACCGCAAGATAATTTTACGTAGTCCTGTGAAGTTTTGTTGAAATCGGTTGAAAAATGTAGGAAATCCGATCCCATATATAAACGTACACACACACACACACACACACACACACACACACACACACACACACACAACCTGGGTTTTATAATAA